ATAGATAGATAGATAGATAGATAGATAGATAGATAGATAGATAGATACATACATACATACATACATACATACATACATACATACTTTAACCTCCTGGAAGAAATTTAGTAAACAAAACAAGACTGTAAATACAACCACATTAAAATTAAAACTCTCCATTCATCAAAAAGCATAAAATGCAAGCATCTATCTGAAAATGTATTGTTAATATAACCTCAGAAAACCTTGTAAGCATAATATGAAAGCAACTTTCCGAAAACAAAAAGCAACTGAAACATGTACAATAATGAACAGCTCTGACTAGGCATTCCACAGGAGAGAAAGCATGATGAATGCAAAAAAATTAAATATTCAGCTTTGTGGTGTCAGAAGAATGCATTTTCAATCCACTGGAGTGGTAGAACATTATGAAATACAATACTGCCAAGTGCTGGCAAGGCCTTTGTTAAAGGCAGTTCTTACTGCTGTGGACAGAGGAAATTGATACAGAGCTTTGGTGACTGCTTTGAATCCGTCCTATATGGTGGACCACATGTGAATTCTACACGCCAGTCATTCCACCCCTTGCACAGACCTAAGCAATGGCAAGTGTGCACAGTGAGATAAGTACAAGAAATAGCCCAAATGATTAGTTCTTATTTATAGTACAAAAATAGAAAATGACCCAAATATTTATCAACTGGAGAAGAGACCAATAAACTAGTATTTTGGCTTAATGGTGTAGAAATTTGGAGTAGCAAGGGATAAATTACAATTTAACAAGACAGCATGGATGGACAAGAACTAAGTAGCAAAGAAGGTACAGAACACATTGTGATATCGGTATGAATCACTGAGTGTATTATTTACAAATAAATATGTAAATCTTTGAAAATAATTTTTAAGACCGCGGGATAATAAATCACGTAACAGTGCTACCTCTGAGATGGGGAAGCGGGAAGATGAATCAGTGCCGGGAGCCATCCCCAGTGGTGGACAGGTCTCAGCAGAGGATGTAAAAAGTTGGTAACGGAAGGATATGAGCCAGGTCATGATGGTCTGGAGAATCCAGCAGCCTGACTGACTAACAGCCAGAGTGTTTCTTTATTTATACAGAATTTAGTAAGTAGGGATATATTCATGTTGTTCCAAAACATAATTTTTGGTTTGGGACATGTGTTTCATTTCCTTTTGTTTATCTTTTAGTCATCATTAATAAACTATGACAGAACAGAGTTATCATTTTTTCCAATCATTTTACCTCAAGTTTTGACATCATTGATAAACAGGGTTATTATTTTTACTTATTAACCCCATAACCCAATTTTTAAGAATCTAGAGGGATATGACAAGGTGTTCTCAGGCTGATTGCTTCAGTGGCTACAAGGACATTTGACCAAAACAACCTTCCAGTCATCCTGGGCTTGCTGCCACATCCCAAGCAGTGTATTATTAACTCTGAATGGTCAGAGTGTCCAAGAAATATCCTCAGGCCAAAGCTGTTACAGTTATTATTCAAATTCTGGCATAATACAATGTCTATATTTTATATCTTTATAGAATATAAAATACCATCTTCCTATATCATTTTTTGCCCATCTGTATAAGTCTCTGTGTAGGACAGAGGTAGGTAGCTTCAGCTAATCTCGCTCTGTTGATGTATATGCCACACAATTTCCTGAGCGTATAGTGTGGGAAGAGGCTTGTGATCGGAACTGTGGCCAACTCCTCCACCCCACCGAATCTTGTTGACATTTGTAAGTTTACTTTGTTTTGATTGTTTTTTTCCTGAGTAAGTACAGGGACAGATGTTTCAGAAATGTCTCATAGCCTCATAAATAGACCTCTAGCTTCTTTATGTGTGTCACAACATCCAAGGCGTAAGGAAGACCTTCAAGTAGATAAGAATATCTCCCTAAAACAGGGTTGGGGGGAATAGCATGTTCAGGACTGTCCTGGGGAAGTTTAGAAATAACATTCCTGGAAGAAGGCATAAATGATTTATAGGAAAATTTCCATCAATCCAATATTCCCAAATTGTACAAATATTAAAAGTCTCCCAAGTATGCCACAGGTTGGGATGAAAACCCAAGGCCATCATGTGACTCAGCTTTGCTGGATCTTTGTCCAATAGCTGTGCTGGCTTTCCGTCTTCTGCCACCCCCATCAGATATGGCTGGGTCATCTCCCCCTTTTGTTTGTGAACTTAAGCTCTGTCCCGAGACAAAAGAAGTGAGAAACTGTAAAACCTTTTTTGTAACCTCGGAAACCAAGGCAGGCTCCAATGGAGCTGCAATTTGTTGGTGCAAAGACTGCATGTTTGTAGCTAGTTTAGAATTGTTTCATAGGCCATGGAGGTGGGGAAACAGGCTGCTGATTCATAGTATTTGCCTGGAGTCCATTACCTGTGAGAGGTGGAATCAAGTCAATTCCCTGAAATTTACAGGAAACCTTTATAAGTTTACCAAAAAGGAAGTAAAAGAACATCAAGATTCCGAACACTGTTTCCTTTGCCCTCAGAAGGGTATCAAGGCCTGTCATTCACTTTGTATTCAAGAAGGTTTTCCTTGTTTATACTAGTGTGTGTGTGTTAAGTCAAAACCCCAAAACTTCATGATTCAGTCATAGTTTGTCAACTTCTAAAATTTCCCTAAGTTTTTCTTCTTAAATGATGTGTTTCAGATCCTATATTTCATGCTCATTGGTACCACAGAAGTAATATTTTCTATAGAAGACTCAATTTCTTATACAGCTAATCCTCCCAGGGAATCACCCTAAGTTTTAATCTTAACATCAGCTTTCATAAGAACTGTTACACTGTCCCAGTTCGAGTTTTCGGTGAGGTGCCTTCAACAGCAAAGAGTTCAAACATTAGATCTGTCACAGACATGGGCAAGAGTTGTGCAGCCGCTTCCAGCAACAGCAGCGAAGGGTCAGCCCAAGTCAGCTTTGCCAAGCAGCAGCTCCAGGACATTTGACACCGCCACTTGTATAATCAGAATTCTGGGGTACCGTGAAGGGTCAGCCCAAGTCGTCTAAGCACTGCGATCTTCGTCAGATCAGTAAGAAGCTCAATGGACATAAAATTCTAGCTTTTTCAATTGCATGGTAGATTACCGCTGATTTGACAACAGAGCATAAATGTACCTCTCAGCATTTACAATGTGAGGACCACACCAATTCTAATAAAACTTTCTCAAGGGGCTGGAGAAATGGCACAAGGGTTAACAATGCCTGCTGTTCCTGCAGAAGAACCAAATGGGTGGCTCAAAACCACTTGTAACTCCTGCTCCTGGGGGCCGGCTGCCCTCTTCTGCTTAGACATGCTTCTGAATGCACATGCACAAACTTAGACACAGACGCACACACCTATAAACATAATTTTAAGATTTTAAAAAGTTTCTAAAATATTTTTCTTACCATATTGGGGAAGAAAAGTAATACTTATCTCCTCACTGCGAGGAACAGTCATTGAGAAGACATAAAAAAGAGTGCCATCAAATCTTAATCTTCTAATTCTGAAAAATCAAATTCCTTTCTCGTTTTTGCAAATGATACTCAAATTATATTGAGAACCAAAGCAAATATTCTGAAATTTTCATCACATCCTCTTGCCCACTGCCAATAATTAAACACCTGCCAGCTCCAAATTTCTTAGCACTGAATAAATGGATTAAATCACCAGATTTCAGGCAAATTTTTAAAATAGAATGTGTTCCCATTAAGACAATTAACATACAAAGATAATAAGTACTGAAATACAAAGCACATCAGAAATGAAATTTTAGTGCCCCGAACATTTAATGATGATGAATATCTAGCTTTTAAAATCTTCTAATATTTGTTATCTTATAAAAGAAGCAGTGTTAAATTATTCAAATGGGCTTGAATCAGTGCTGTCTAAATGGATGCATTTTATTTGTGAAAGCTAACAGTTGAAATATCCAGAAGGTTTGTCTGTGCTCATGTTGTCCTACATGTGCATTTGGTATCAAACAATCAGTTAACGTCGTTTTTGAGGAGGTAGCTTATGGTGATCGCACTGAGGGATGATGAGGGATCGTCTGCAGCAGCACACTGTGGACAGGACACGTAGCTGCCTACATCACCTAGCGAATTATTGAAGGGATGGTAATGCTGATGGAAAGAAAACAAGGTAGATGTCATCAGTTGCTCACAGAGCATAGAATGGTCACTGTGCAGCAGCTGCCCCGGTACTACACAGGAGAGGCAGTGCCTTTAACACCAGCTTTGGATACAAGGATTGCATGCAATCTCCCTGGAGTTCATAATCGAATATCAACACCATACTGGTTGCCATGGTAACACTGACAAGAAGAAAACAGGCATGTTTGTGGTTGGAAAATTGTCTTCCCGCTTTCTAAATGTAGGAGACAAGTTACATGTTTGTGGCAGTGATCTATTCCACCAGCTTGGAGACAAATTAACGTCTAAACGCTCAAATGCCACGAGATTGAGTCAGAACTCATTTCGAGAAACTAGCGGCCCACTTGGGAGTATAAAGGAAAATGATTTTGTTGACACCCTTTGATTCCTGACAGTTCCTGAAAGTTAGAGGACAGCGGCAAGCAGAGCTGTTAGGTTGAGCATTAGGAACTTGTCAGACAACTGATACTCCTGTATCTACCTGCTCCGTTACCCAAGAAGCAAAATGGTAATGGATTTTAAAAAAAAGAGAGAGACATTCCTATATCCTTATCAACTCTGTTTAAGTAAATATCGAGATGCTAGAGAGATAGCTTAATGGGTAAGAACACCTGCTGGGCAAGCAGGAGGACCTGAACTCAAATCCCTAGAATCTACAAAAGCAGCTAGCTGTGGCTGTATGTGGCTAGATATAACACAGCGCTACGGGAGGCAGAAAAACAGGATGTTCGCCGGGGGTGGATGGATGACAGCCTAGCTCCAGGTTCAATGAGAAAGCCTATTCCTAGTGAGGGAGGCAGAATGTTAGAGTGGGACCTGACATCCTCTTCTGGCTTCTCTGTGGTTGTGCCAGAACACCAATCACTCCAGCTGTCGCATAGACAACTCCTGCTTAATTCTCAATACCCATCTTTCGCCGCAGGCCTATTATGCCATATTCCTCAATAAGGGCCGTCTGGAAGTACATCTCTCGTCGGGGACACGAACAATGAGGAAAATTGTCATCAAACCAGAGCCAAATCTGTTTCACGACGGGAGAGAACACTCAGTTCACATGGAAAGAACCAGAGGGTAACTAAGAATAACGCATTTGCTGTTACTCTATCCACTGTGAACTCCCTCTGCCAGCATAGCTCTTTGCCTGAGCCCCCCTGTGTGGACAGACCACAGACTCCAAACCATGACAACACACTGAGGTCCTCATTTTGTATTTGGGAGCCTCATTGGCAAGGACCTATTACGAAGGTTTCCCTTCTCTATGGTTCTTCTCACAGCTTCACGCAATGCAACTTCTCCAGCTAGAGATAAAGAAAAATCCCTACCCCTGCACCTTGAAAGTAGCCACTTCTCTAATAAGGAAATCATAGGATAGCTGAGGTTGAGCCAGCAGCCTCTGGCTGCTGCTAGTTCACTCGGGTTCCAAATCACTTATGGCAGATGCTTAGAAACCCGCCATCAATACTACGGAGCATGACAGTACTATGAGACCAACTGTGCCTCTTATGAATGTGCTTCATCTCTGTCTGTTCCTTAAAACAGCATGCAAGGCCCTGCAGTGGCTTTCTGAGAGAAGAGGGTCGAAGTAGAAAAGGAGAATGGTGGCCATCTCTAATTATGTATAGTGACCACTTTTCAATAAATCTCCAAGGATGCTTGTCCTTAGCCCTAAGCCAGGGAATCATCCTTGAAGCATATAAGCTGATTTTTTTTTATTTCTGGACAATGCTTTGTCCTTACTTTATTGGGAAAGTCATCTGTGTTCTTCATCAAAATCTTATGAAACAATTCGGAGAGGTAATTAGTTCAGAAGGAGGATGAGAGGAAAAGACAACAGAAGCCCAGAGACTTGGGGGCCTCAAACCTCCAGACCAACAATCCATTTATTAAACCAAAGGCAAAGAAAAGAACTAGAAATTCAATCTGATGAAACCTCAAAACACAGAGAGCACGTGGGAGGGTAGCAAGGGTATGAATGCGGAGTGATGCTCCAAAGAAGCAGGGCTATCGTACTTTGGAGGTCTATATTTTCTAATTGTCCTCTTGTATAGATAAGAGTTTAGATAACTAATGAGGTTTCTTATTTTCTGAGTAAATAATAAAGCCTTCTTTGGTTTGTTCTGTTATTGTGAAACAGGGCATTTGTTTGTGAGCTGAATTAATTCTGAGCATCTGTGTTGTGTCTAGACCAGGAGATTTGGAAACCATGATTAAGAAAAATGAGTGATCAACATTCAGATAGCACATGACTTTTACTGATTTAATAGCCAGGTATCATAGTTAGGGTATCTGGGGGTAAAGGCAGACCAGATTTTCTAACTCAAATCTTGGGGAGTACATTAGAATATCAGTTTTGCTTGGTTTCTTGTATACATTTTAGGCCATTTGCTAAACTTTAATCTTTCTCACTATGGATGGGAAGGACATTTTACAAGTTCTGAAATCTCAAATAATTTCAACAAACAAATGCAAGTTTGAGAAATATAGACGGCCAAAATTCAACAAAAGTATGTTATTTTCAAAAGGAAGAATTTAGAAATCCCATAATATATCACCATGTTATATATGCTAACATGTCCTCTGAACAGGTGTTTCCTCAAGAAGGGCATTTTATTATGCCGACTTCACAGCTGTTGGCCATCAATCCAAATTTTATTTGATTAAGTTCTGTATACAATACATCCCTGAAAACTGGTCACCCGGTTAATTAGCCTTATAAACAAACAGGTTTGCCACTTACTCTTAGTTAAGAGATGATGTATTAGACATACGCCTGTGTGGTTATCTAATTCCATGCCAAAACAGGAGCCAATTTACTACAGTGTCCTTCTTGGCACCCTAAGGTCAAAGCACAGTCATTGTCTACTCTATAAGCAAACACATGAAGCTGGTTAACCAGACATCACTAATGGGCGTCCCAGCGTCACCCAGAAACGTTGTACTGCTTCACATAGCAATTCTAAGGAATGCACTAGGCTGATTGTCTTTTAATCATTTTAAACTGAGTGTGAGAAGTGTATTAATATCCCTTCATCCCAAATGAGGAAACATTACATAATCTGCCTCAAATTGCATAGCAGAAACAAAAGCCAGGTTTAAAACCAATTAAAACCATCCTTAATGTCTCATTTATGCATGCCTGCTATTTGTTCTTACCCAATGAAGACTTCAAAGATTTAATATTGCTAGGTATTGAGTATGGTATGCTATTACTAATTTGGAAACCTTGCTTTCTCTCAGTGCCTTTATACACCAGCTGGCAATCTTTTCTTTTCCTAAACTTCAGAATATTGTGGTAACTGTAGTAACACTCTTAAATTATTTGGAATTTTAGTTTGTTTGACAAACAAACAAACAAAACTTGTTTGGCAAAATTGCTTTCCTCTTTTGCTCCTTTTTTTAACCCTCACCCCATATTCTCTTTTTTTCTACCGCTTCCTTTTAAAAAGAAAAATAAACTCACATCAATCACCTTTTTATGTCACTTCTGGACACTCAGGGACCCTTCCTTCTGTGACTGCCTTCATTTTGAACTTTCCCTTGGAGCCTACCCTATGGACATCAGCTCTACCTGAACAAAAACTGTGAAGCCCTAAGGCCTGAAATAGCGCCTTGGGTGCCTGGGATAAAGGACTGAGTTGAGTGTGTCCTCTGAGAAAGCATTTCGTACACAGGTACAAAATATAACTAAAGCACCAAGTTAGGAGGTTTTCAGAAGCTAGGACTTCCAGAGATCACGATACAGACAATCCAAGTTTTGTCTCCCATAGCATTCAATATATGTCAATTTAAAGATACCATTTTATTTTTCATGTAAATTACAAATACTCCAGTTAATACCTTCCTCCACATTTACAATTGCTGATGAGTTGAAAATTTAAAAAGACCCATTTTGAAAATAGGTACAGACTAAAGTACAAGAAGCAAATAATTATAAGGCTGTGAGAATCAACCACTGAAATTATAAAAGAAAATGGTCAGCTAACCTACCACAGTACTGATGAGTGTTTACTGTAGAGTTTAACATAAAGTAGCCTATCAATTAGAAGTTATAAATGAGGGGCAGGAAAGAGGGCTCAGTGGTTAAGAGTAGGTATTGCTCTTGTAGAGGACCAAAGTTTGGTTCCCAGCACCCAAATCACATGACTCACAACCACCTATAACTCCTGCTCTGGGGCAGCACCATCTTCTGGATTCCATAAGGGCCTGCCCAAACACTTTCATATATCTATACACACACACACACACACACACACACACACACACACAACTAAAAAATAAAATAAATCTTTAAAAATAATAGAATCAGAACAGATTATCTCACCAGAATGGATACGTTGTTAACATCCTTATCTAAAAAAGGAACAGAATCAATTATTTATATTTAATGTTTCTTGAATGTAAAATGTAAAAAATAAATAAATAAATCAACTGTAGCCTTTCAGCATTGCCCTTATTATGTACCACAGCCTCGGGGCAATCTCTTAATTAATGTATTCCACTGTTTGAAGTAAGTGTTTTTAATCTCCATTTATAAATGAATAAAATGAAACTAAGCATGATTAAATAACTTGCCCAAGGTCACGCTAGTAGGAAGATTCCACATTAATACTGAATTCCAGTCTAGCCCTCCTAAAGGCCCCCACTCCTTCTGCGTTACAGAGGATTAAGGCCTTAGCTGTGCTCCCTGGATGGAGCAGGACAATTGGAGAATCTACCTTAGAAAGACAAGGGCCCCTGGTCCCTTAACACCCTAATCAGGATCAGAAAGTTACCTCAATGGACATTCCTTAGTAGTGGATTAAATCCCCAGTTAAGTCTTAAATTCAATGCCTGAGAAGAAAAGCCAGTGCTTCAGCCTAGAGAACCCTGGCTGGGGGAAGGCGCTCAGTCAGTCACTCACACCTGGATGCTGTCTCAGTCTAGAAATCCCCAGTGTTCTGAGCAGTGGTGTTGAACCCCCTGGCTTTGTCAACTATTCCTCCAGAGTCTATCACTTTAAACCAAGTTCTCCCTAGCTTCCTTCTGAAGCAAAGCCTTGCTTGTGTCCCTAACCCCTGAAACAGTGACATTTTTGAGCCATGACAAAGTTTATTCTGTTCTATTTTCTCATGTTAGATTTGTGGATCCATTGCTCAGCTTCAAGTCCTAACTTGTCTAAATTTGTTGTCTGCAGCTCGCTCACCTTCATGTCCCTCTCCTTCCATCTGCCCACTCTGCTCTTTCTTCCCTCCTGCTCTTTCTTCCCACTGCTCCTTTAACAAAATCAGGTAATGTGGCATTTTAAGGCTGAGTTTCCACCTGGGCTCTTAGGTCCCGTCTTCAGATAAGAACTAAGTTCTCCACAATCTATCCACAATGAGGAACAGCACTGTGATTACTGCTGGGACCAAGTTCAAAACCTGCTTGTACCAAAAAAAAAAAAAAGGATAGAAAAAATGCCTCCAGTCGTTTTCATCATTAGAACTCCGCGTCTTGGTTCTTTGGCCCTGGATCCAAGGATTGTTGTGAATAAGTAGTGTGCGGTTCTCAATTAGCAGTGTGTGAGTAATCACTCATAAGCAAATTAGGGAAATTAATGAAACAGCCACTGAGGAAAATCACTGCGAGGAACAATTAGCTTGGTGTTCTGGCCTGCCTCTTCTATTCAAAAGCCAGCAGCTATGTCCTTTATACAATGTACTGTAAGTGTTTGCTGTTGATTCCTGCAATCTCAGCTCTCAGGAGGACAGTTTGTCCCCTAGCAAGAAGATAATAGCCAGCACAAACCAAGACAGAAAGAGCCAAGCTAAATGCAGCCCCTTGCTGTGCCAAACTCACAGATCCTTATCTGATTAGACGTTGCTGTACAGCCCCGCAGCCTCTGTGCTCACAGAATGTGTGCTGGGCTGCAAACCTGGGTGGTCACCTGCCTCAGAGATGCGTGTTGCAGCTGCGGGATTGCCTAGTTTCAATAAATTTTCAGTACAAGTTAATGAGCAAGGCATGAGGCAAAGTCCGAGGGAACAATGGTGTTTGTTAGTTGCTTGGTGTTTAGGTCCTAATCATCTAATCCGGGCTATCTTAAAAGCTATGGGAGATCAGAGTGCCAGGGAACATGCCTGCAAACTCCTAGCTGTCAATAGGCTGAGGCAGAAAGATCGTAAGTTCGAAGCCAGCTTAAGCTACATAGCTAGACCTCTTTTCAACAATAGTAGTAATGACAGTATAATAGAAAACTAAACATCTGGGAGCAGAGACTAAGAGGTGGTGGGAAAAGACATTTCTAACTGTCCTGCATGTTTGTTATCTTCAAATTCTTATCAGCATCTTCACTGTTCAAGTCGATGAAGACAGAAGACAGACACAAAACCTCACAGTGGAGCAGCCTATCGAAGTGAAGAAGCTCTTCGTCGGGGGTGCTCCTCCTGAATTTCAGCCTTCCCCACTCAGGAATATCCCCGCCTTCGAAGGCTGCGTGTGGAATCTTGTTATTAACTCTGTGTAAGTGGCTCTCACGCCCGCTGCCGTTTGCTTTGAATTTAATATGAGGGTCGCTGTAGCAACCACATTATCTAACACCCCAGAAGATAATCCTTTAATGTAGACCTAGAATTGTATCCTGATCATTTCAAGTCATAGTTGGGGTCTGATTTAATTGCTCAGGAAGAAGACAGTGAAAAATAAGAAAAACTTTCCTTTTGCTTGTCTTTGCTTAGCCCCATGGACTTTGCACGGCCTGTCGCCTTCAAAAATGCTGACATTGGCCGCTGTGCCTATCAGAAGCCGCGGGAGGATGAAGAAGCGGTTCCAGCTGAAGTGGTTGTCCAGCCTCAGCCGGTGCCTACCCCTGCGTACCCGTCACCTGCCCCCACCCTGGTGCATGTAAGTGTTCATGTGCACACTGCTTTTGAACCTTCTATTTTGAGTCATTTCCAGATCAAACGTTGTTCAAGGAATCAAGTAGACTCTGTCACTAGCTCTAGAGCACCAGGGGCCTGTGTATAAAAACCTGGCCTCCTCACATCTTCTTTGCATTGCTTTTTATCATCTTTTCTGTTAATTCTGATGTTCAAAAACTGGAACTGATTTTTCATGGAAGAATTGAAGTGAAGAGGACTGAAGTTTTCAGAATCCAGCTTCAAAGCCATTTGTAATTCCAATACACAGAGGTAACTGTATCAGTGTTCAGTCCCTTTGAATTTTACACATAGATCTCACATAATTTGGAGTCTTAACTTTTCAAACTGGTAATACATAATTGCAACTATATAAATGTCACATAGGTGTATGTTTGTGTCTGACATAATTTTCTATTGTACACAGACGCACACAGAAAGGATCACACAAAATAGGACACATTACGAAATGAGACTGTTAACCACCCAGGTGTCAAATTCCATCAGAATTTTTAGAAGACAATTTCTAACTGCCTAAAATATACTAAGCATCTACTAATGATTCTATTTCGCATTTTCGAGACATACTATGTACCCACCTCTAGCCAAACAAATTCCATCCAATGTGAAATACAAATTGATGTCCAGTTTTCAGTAGATTGGATAAAAATTGGATGTCTAAAGTAACTCACAAGTTTACTCAAACAACTGGTCAGCGATAAGAGGGGGATGCTAATCCGTTAGATCGGACCCTCAAATCTGCTTCCTAATGAGCACAGGGCTTTGCCTTTACTTTGGCCAGCCTGTTGAGGGCTACTGGGGGCGGGGGTTTCCAGTTCACACTATTAGAAACTAAGCAACCAAGAACATTCGAGAATAAAAGTCCTTCAACATGACTCATTATTGTACTAGATTTCTAGTAGGAAACTATGAAGCTCCCCCTCCTCAAAAAAAATGGGTGCATTTAAGACTCGTGTGTGTGTCAAAATGGCTTTTTCCAAAATTGACTGCAGCAGCTTACAATCTCACCATTACTTCAGAGATGGTCCGTCTCACTGCACTCCGAAGCATAGGCATCGATCACAGTTGTGGTCCATGGCTAAAGAATAGTGTAGCACTTGTGGTCGTAGGGAAATATCTTGAAAACACTTGGACACAGCATTCTCTCCTTTAGTTTATTCTTTTTTTTTTTTGACAAAGGAAAGAATGAAGTTGCTTTATTTTGTAAAAGAGAAGATAACTACTCTTGCCCTAACTCATGGCCAACTCTATAGCTTTTATGAGTGTAAAGAGAAATGTTTTTCCCACCCATTTTCACAGCCATCCAATCCCAAAGAAACACACAGAGGCTTCTACTTTGACTGGTTCCTTTCACTGGGGATTCTTATTATGTGGCAGGTCAAATAGTCATTGTTCGGAAAAACTGATTATCTACTATAACCAACATTTAAGCTTCTTAAAAAATGTGTCTTACACTACTACAATCATTATAATGAAATTACAATAATGAGTATATTACAATCATGATTCTTGTAAAGATATAATAATCAAAGGGCACGGCTTATGTGTAACTTTGAAAATTAGGGTTCTATTTTTATAAGATATTATTTTATTTTCTTTATAATATTATTAGAAGTATTATTATCCCAATCCTTACAAAAAGAGATGCCTAGAGTCACCAAAAACAACAGGAAGCCCATGGTCACGTAGGGTGATATCCCCTGGCTTACCATTGTTCCATGGGTGCTTCCAACAGATGCATCAATAGGATGTCTACTATTTAGTTAGCAAATTCGGTCAAACAAAGTCTCTTGAACCTTCTTATCGGTAGGTCTTCAGCTTTGTGTGTTGGTTTATTTGGGTATAAAAGATTGCTGGTAGTCTCTACAGAGCACCTCATTTTTCCTTGAGATATTGATAGCCCAGTCTGCAGTTAGTACATTATCAGCCATCCAAAGTTAGAAAGCATTTCCCTCATGTTATCTCACTTGACACAGTGCCAGAGTCTAGCATCCTCTTGTGCTTCTCTCTTGTTATACAAACTGTTCAGCTCCTGTAAATTCTGCAGACTTTGCTTTAAGGGATTCTTCAAGCACTCCAGTGGCTCTGGTTTCTGAAGAGCATGGTTTTCAGAAACATGAAGAGTTTTACAAATGAGTTTTTTTGAAACCTCTTATTCTAATTCAGGTTTTCATTTTCTCTGAGCAGAAGTGCTTTAACTTCTTCAAAAACACAACACTGCACTATAGACAAGACTCCAAAGGCTTGAGAAGCAGCCCAACTTGTAGACCAAAAACAATTCGTATCATGGGTAGAAAAGATCTGAGAAATCCCAACTCTTTTATAAAGCATTTATTTTTAATGTGCATGTGTATATGTGTGCACCGTGCGATGCACACTAAGTTCCAGAGGAGGGTACCAGATTCTGCAGAACTGGAGGTGAGGATGCTCGGGAGCCTTCCTATGGATGCTGGGAATTGAACACAGGATCTTCTGCAAGAGCAGCAGGTGTTCCTAACATCTAATTCACCACAGCACAGAAATCCTCACTCTTAAAAGACCCTGTGAGAAAAGTCTCAGTGTGGTCTCAGATTATACACACAAGAGAGACCTGAACCCCACTCACTATTTCCCCTCCTACTCTTCAAATCCCTTTGTGACTATAGGGCCAGAATTCTCTTAGGACTTTCCAGCTTCATGCTTTTTGTTTCATTTAAATCGAGGTCTTGCTCTGTAGACAAGGCTTGCCTCAAATTCATAGAAATTCACCTGTCTCTGCCTCTCAAGTGTTGGAATTAAAGGTGTGTATCACCACACCAAGCAGAATTGTGTTTTAGAGGCTCAACTCCTGTTTCATATAGTATGTATTATCCATTTTAATTTCTTTCCTTTTTTTGAAAACAGTGTCTCCTTTTTAGCAGTGACTAAAGTTAATAACTTCATAATTTACTTTATAAAATACGTTCATCAAAAGCCCAATGAATATAAGGTTGATATCATCCTAGCTAAGAGGAAGGAACAGAAAGGGGAAGGAGAGGCCTCGAGCCATTGCTCAGTGAGCTCTGGAGTTGATGTCCTCTGAGTATGGACACCTAGCTTTGAAAATCATAGGTACAAAATTACATACTGTCCATAAAATACCTAGTACAAAGTCTAGCCTGTGGTAACACCTCATCATGCTGTGAATTCTTCTGTGAGAACCAGTTGGTCTAGCCTTTCACACTTCCAAGGTGGACACACATACTGGGAGCCCTTGGGTGTTGATGGCTGTTCTATTTGTAAGCAATTTCAAACCCAAGCGTGAAATGCTTTATGGATCTTTGTTTCTAGCTGTTTTTAATTCTCAACATTTCTGAGTTTATATTTTTTAAAATCAGCACAGGTCAATCTTGGAGGTGGGAACTATTGTCTACAAGTCTCATATTTCCTGACTGACAGGAACGCCCCTCCTTCATGCCCATCGTTAACTTCCTTATACCTTGACAGCTGCTTCAAGTGCAAAGAGAGCTTTCACCAGGCTTCAGGCTAGTTGAAAACTATCCTGGGAAAGCCCTGCCCTGTGAAAGGGATAAGTCGTTCCTTTGGTTATTACAAAGTCAGCCATCCTGGATTAGACAGAATTTCCTGCATGTTATCTCATGTCTCAGTACCAGAGCCTCGCAGCCCCTTGTAGTTTTTCTCTGATTATTTAGCCCATTAATATCTAGGGGGGAGAAGACCCCTGCTTGTCTTATCTGTGGATATTTCTCATCTAGAATGACAGAGATGGGATGGATAAGCATCTCGGCTTATCGATACTGAAATGTGTTGATGTGTTCAAATGAGACAAGCGTCGGCACTGTTGACTCCAACCCCTCCTGAAAAGCATGGCCTGTGAGAATTGGCATACAACAAGTCGGTTGCATTTCTTATATTTGAGTCTCGCTGGAGAGTTGAATGTAGCACTTCCAAGCTCTGGTAGAAATGAAGAGTTCTGATAAGGTCTCTTTGAGAATTGAAGAGAGGTGAGCTATAAAGGAAAAAAAAATAACAAAACCAAATAGAGCACTAGAAAGTTGTTCCTGTAGCAACATCAGTGCTGCAACTTTAAAAGCTCTGTACAGCCAAAGCCACAGGGTAAATCAACTGGGCACTGACACGTACTTAAAGGGAAAACACACATTCTACACACTCCAGGGAATCTGTCTTAAGGCATGCCACTGGCAAGGCCCAGTTCCCACCTAAGAGCCCACACACAAGGAGTTAACTCCTTGCTCCGTGTTGCAACCGCAGAAGGCATTGTATCCATCGGGACGTTGAAGCTGGTGCTGGAAAAGTACCTAGTTAGTATTCACCCCCAAAGATCATCAGAAGCAAGCATCAGATGGGATTTTAGCCCACACTTATTAGCGGGATCATTGACTCATGAAGGAGGAAAATTACACAATTTTTAGCGTGAGTCATCATGTGGTGCCCGTTTTGATACCCGTGGCTGAGACCTCTGCATTACAGCTATCCTGAAGTCAAAGGATGCCGACAAAGAAACCACGTGCTGCCTTGGGTTTGATTATTCCCAACTGTCAACTCCGCACCAGGAATTATTCTGACCTGAAGTTTAACCAGTGGAAAGGTTTGCCAGGGAAACTGTCCGCTTGCCTTGTGCCTGTGGCTCCAGGAAATATGGCTTCCTTCAGAATCCTCTCGAATCACTTCAGGCCCTCATCAACAGGTGCACTACTCCATTAGGCTCCCCACAACCCAGCGTCCCTAAGAAGTGTCACCTGCAAAGCAGAAACAAATCAATTTGTCCTTTATCACCTTTCCCCCGTGTGTTGCCTGCATTCTAAAGTGTCGCCACCAGGTGGCAGAAGTGTAACATGCTGAGATTGATGAGCCTCTAGTGAGGCTGATTTTTAAATTACTATTATTGTTGTTTTAACGCGTTTCAGAGATGAGTGTTTCCAAAACACAGGAAAAGACCTTTCTCAGGCCTTCATCAGCTGGTGAGAGGAATAAGACTCAAGAAGAAAAAGAAAAAAATTGCTGTACTTTGCGTATTCCTCTACCCTCTCGTAGCTTAGGTTTCCATGGAGGCTGGGCTTGAAAACGTCCTTGCTGACAAAATGGCTTCATTCTCTGAGAAGTACCATTTTCTTATAGCCCTCGGGTGTCCCCACTTAGCAGATTGGAAAGGGAAAAGAATCTGAAGCTGCAGTAAGTGCAGTTCTACCCTCCGTCCGAGAGCAGGGAGGAAGGGAAGTCCCCAGCCCCCACAGCAGGCAAATCTGTGGCATGGGCCCTGGACCGTACCGGACCTCAGATCCCTCAGGGGATGGTGATTGGGCACGATGCCATCAAGTCAAGCAAGGGGGAAGGTGAAGATTTATGGAGAAATATTGTATTGAGAGTTTTTTTTAATATTTATATTCTAACTACGGTAGATACATACATACTCACTACACTCGCATTTCTATCCTTTGTCAAGGGCGAGTTTTATGAAGGGCTATAGATTACGAATATCTTACTGAAGTGATATACAGGGTATGCATCCTCTTAGCAATTGGTGGCAAGAATCTGCCACCGTGACTATACGTGGGGTGGCCTGTTAGAGAATGGGCGTGTTCCCCCTCTCTCCTGTGGCTCTGAGCATTCTGAGGAGGTAGCTGTAGTCACTGTTCTTCCTGACTCTCAGATTTCCCCCTTACACAGACGTGAAGATGGCCTCTCACAGGGTTTTCCCCTTGCCTAAGAGATTGTACTATAAAAAGACATTGGAGTCCAAGGACCTGGACGGAATCCCTTCCACCTGAAAGTGTTTCTAAAATGACCACCTAGGAAATTTGATAACATTTTCGGGGTCAGCGAGACGGGCTGCTCAGCTGAGGACCTGTTCCTCTGCCAAGAGGCAAAGTCATGATGTTCAGCTACCACGTGACATTCAAAGACACAAGCTATCCAAAGCATACCACTAATAAAACACCTAAACTTTACAACTACCATCCTGATCACTCAAAAAGCCATATTAGAAAATGATATTTTATGGTAATATTTGGTGCTAACATATTCTCTGGTGAATGGATAAGCGGTCACAGCAGTAGTAACAGCAGCATTACCTACTAGTGGATGGATTTCTTCAGGCTGTGCATTAATGGTTCCTAATTCCTTGGCATCCACTGGCTTTCTCAATGTCTGTTTTCAGAGCTCAGAGTTGAGAGACGTGTTGGTAAAATTCCGTTACCAAAAACTCACAACATATCCATTCTCTCAGGGAATTCTAAGGAAGGCTACATACTACATTCGCTGAGAAAGTCTTCTGTACACAAAATGCCCCGAAAGCCTGATAAATGATCCTTACTCTATTCGTAGCCTGCGTGGGACAGGCCACGAAGTCCTTAAAGGTGTTCCATGTGGGTTTTCTTTGTTGGACACGCAGTAGGGAAAGTACTGCTTGGTGTCATGAATAGCATCGTCTTGCCCTACCTTGTGTGCATTCGCACAGCCGTCTGAATTTCGGCTGGTCTTCTCTTCATAACCGACCATCTCCCGAGAGTCACGAAAGGAACCACCTCCAGAAAGACCAATTTTATAGCTTTCAAAACACTTTAAGCCCTTTTACCTGCTGTGGCATAACAGCGCCTTTGACTAAGCTCGAGAGAAAAGCGAATAAGGCTTTCCCTTGCATAAGGATGTCCTAGGTGCTGATGAGTCATGTCTGAAGTACTCTGCTGGAGAAGAACGCCCCCTCATCAAAAGCCTGCCCTGGGTTGTTTAGGAGCCCTGCTTCATCAGCGTTGGCTGGGGTGACTGCCCTTTTGTAGCTATTAATCTCAGATCTGAAAAGCAAATGTGTGCTTGCAAGGGTGCATGTTATTCTCATGGATCCTCTCGTGAGCCTGGCCTCTAAACGACTTCCTCAGCCACCTGCATGTCAAACCAGCCTGGGAAAATAGAAAGCGAATGAGGAGAAGGCTTGTGGCTTTGTCATTTGAGGAGCCTTGCTTCCTGAGCTGTGTGTGAGAGTCCAAGTTGCCAGGATTGGTTTTGTGATCGGTGAGGCTGTGTACAAAAGGGAAACGCAGGTTCCCTTCATCAAAAAATTATTATGAATTTCCAGGCAGTGACAGCATAGCATTAAAGCGAGCAACTGCGCATACACGCACCTACCTAGCTGTCCCTCTCAAGCACCCTGGGAAGCTGATCTTTGAACAGCAGCAGTGGAAATGGTGTACGGTGGGTTGCCTTAAAAAAAAAAAAAGTGATGGTTGCCTAGCAACTGGCTAAGGCCCTGAATGGGCTGACTTGCAGGTTTAGATACACCATCTTGAAATTCTGAATTTCTATTCTAGCGGACTGATAATTTTTATGGAAAAAAGATACATGGGAAATGGAAATGGGGAGGGCAAGAAGGACCCCATTTTTCTACTCTCATAATCCACGTGGCATCCCATAGTTCTCCCTGTTCCATCTTCTAAAAACAGAACTCCTCCTCAGTGACGTAAATGAAGAAAAGAAATTGCAGTTTCCACAGAAATATCAACCATGTTTTCCTTAGAGAGTGAGGAAAATATGAATGTATCGATACAATTTTTTAAACACCTTTCCTTTAGCAACTCCAGGACGTGGCTAAGGAAAACTAGTTCAAATTCACCGAGCACTGCATAAGCACCTGCATATGCTGCCGATTGCAGAGATGAGTAAGACAGGGGCTTTATTCCTGAGGAATTCTGCATTGTTCAGGGTCATGAAGGCAATAGATGGAACCACGCAGTCTGGAGAATTGCCTGGACGCAAACGGCTGTAATCTCACCTTCTGTCCTCGGTATTTCTCAGGGCCCTTGTGTTGCAGAATCAGAACCAGCTCTCCTGGCAGGGACCAAGCAGTTTGGGCTTGCCAGAAACAGCCACATCGCCATTGCCTTTGATGACACCAAAGTTAAAAACCGGTATGTATTATTCTAGAACATGTCACAGGAACTGATCATCAAAGCACTGAATATTCACGTTTAATCAAGCTTAATCAACTACATGTAAAATCCCCAGAGACAGAGGTTTGTTTGTTTTTAATCCACTGAGGAGAAAACAGAATTCTGTTTGCTTTGAGCTCGTATACAGGAGATTCATAACCCTTTAAGTTCCCCCGTTCCAGATTTTATATCTGTCATCAAAGTGCGTCCCTCATATGATACCACGTTTTCTTGGCCTAACAATGCTCTTGGTTTTCTGCTTCTTCTCCCCATTTGTATTTCATAGTCTCACCATTGAGTTGGAAGTGCGAACTGAGGCTGAATCAGGCTTGCTCTTTTACATGGCTCGGATCAATCATGCTGACTTTGCTACTGTTCAGCTGAGAAATGGATTCCCCTACTTCAGCTATGACTTGGGAAGTGGCAACACCAGCACCATGATCCCTACCAGAATCAATGATGGCCAGTGGCACAAGGTAACAGTCCCAGGTTGTGAAGGGTATTCTCGGAAGGGTCCTGGAGACAGCCTGGACCTTCCCCTGCTGGGGCTGTTTTGCCAAGGCAGATCCTAACCCCAGAGTAACAGGAATATGTCAGAGACTGAACAAAATGGCCAGTGGTTTGTAGAATGGCCAGAGCCTTGAGAATGTTTAGACATGAGAAGGTTTCTGCTTTTACCACATGATCTGGTTATGATACTACAGAGTCCTATCATTGTTACATAACTGTGGTTCCCAAGCATCTGTCCATGAAGCAGGGCCAGGCAGTTGAAGACGGTTGCATTGGCTCCAGTGAGAATCAGAGGACAAAAGAGTGTGTTCATTATGATGCTTTTGTGTTCTCAGCTTCTAAGCTGAAATAATGTTTGTTCCAAGACTGTGCATTCCTCTCTACTAAGAAATAATATGTGGCCAAAGTAAAAGTTGGCAGCATTAAGATGGGCCCTAAGACCTACCCCTCACCCTAGCACATTTTGATCTGAAAATCAGGAGACCAGAAATCTCTGCAATATCAAGTTTAAGGGACCCCGAGGTACCATTTCCACCAACAGTCATTTGCAACAACTTTAAACGTTGGCCTTACATCCAGAAACTGGTGCTATTGTAGGCACATAAGGCTCGTTTGCCAACTTACTCCTCTCTGGCATGGCTACAAGTAGCTAACATGTGGCCTGATTAAAACAAAAGCTCGAAATTTGTCTCTGCACCTGTGATAGTCTATTAAGCAAAGTTTCCCTAGGTAGACCAATAAAATGTTTAATTTTCAAAGTGCAATGTTATTAGATGTTGGATTTGATGTATTAACCTGCCTTGGCTTGTCATGTCAGAGAAAAAGCCAAAGAAAGGATGAAAATAGAATTACAATACAAACTGCGGGTCAATCCGCTTGTTATTCTCAGAAAGAAGCTATGAGATCCTTTTGGCTTGGGACCTTCAAAGTAGCAAACATGTCTCCTGATGAGGGAAGTCTTGATACAATTTCTTCTCTTCTCTGACTATTGGAAGAACAAATAAACACTCGAGGGAAAAAAAAAGACATATGGATAGACCAGCAAGTTGAGACTGGGAAAGGCAATTTATGTAGCACAAATTTTAGTTGGTCTTATAATAAAAATATCCAGAGTCAGATATAGGGATGTAATACTGAAGAATATCACTACAAATTTATGTAGAATAATTAGCCTTAATAGCCAGTACAGATTTCATTTGTGAAAGTTAAAAAAATTACTTCCTACATCAGAATAGATATTTAAAATGTGGTGTTCCATTGTTCTAATCATTCCCTAACCTGCTTTTAGAGCACTTTGTGCCCCAGCATTTAAAGGCCTATATCTTCCTTTGGCTAAATGCAGACTTCCCAAGCTTCACATGCTTCCCCTTCTCTCATTCATTCCTCTCATGATATCAGCAGATCTCAGGGTTACTTCTCCCTCCCTGACTTTAGACCAATCAGCTGCTACAGGAATAGCAACACCCATCCCCTGTCCTGATCTTCCTAAAATTTTTCACAGGAAGGGCTTAGTAGGCACACATGAATTCATATTAGGATCCCAGGCTTTGCTCATCCAAAATAATGCACTACTAAAGGTAGACATGGAAACCGAGCACAATAAACATGCCTATCATGTCAACACTGGGAAGACTGGGGCAACGGGATCCTGAGTTCAGAGCCAACCGAAGCTAAATAATGAGTCCTTGTTTCAATAATAGTGATAATGATGACAAGGAAATGCATTTTGCATCTCTCTTAGCTCAAGGCAAAGCTCTTAGTCTGCCAAGTTCTTTATGACACACCAACCTCTGAAGCATATATCTCTCTTCATATTTTTGGAACTCTATCTGGTACTTACTCAGAAAGAAATTATACTCAAAGACAGCAGTTGATATGCTCTGTAAACATGGTTACTTTCACTTGTATTATGGGCTTAGTATGTGAACGATATCATTTTCCCTTGGAAACAACAGAAAAGTTCTTACATCTTGTGTTTTTGTTAAACGCAAATGTTAACGATGCCTCCTCACTTCTGTAGATTAAGATTCTGAGAGTGAAACAAGAAGGAACTCTATATGTAGATGATGCCTCCAATCAAACCATCAGCCCCAAGAAAGCTGATATCCTGGACGTTGTGGGGATGCTGTATGTTGGTGGGTTGCCGATCAACTATACCACACGCAGAATTGGTCCAGTAAGTGTCTAATTCTTTGTCACTTATTTGGTAGAGTTAATGAATTGTGCATGTATTTCTTTTCTTAATTCTGAAGTCCCATATCTCATGATTACTTGCTGGTGTGTGGGAAATCATCTTACTAAAGAAATGAAGAAAATCTTTTTGTCTATGCAAGAAACTACCACAGAATACTGAAGTGGACCCTGGTGCCCAACGTCCTTGTTTTGAATATCTCCTTAACTAGATATTCACACTAGCTGTATGACCTTGAGCAAATATTTTCACTTCTCTTTAAATGAACTCTCTATTTTCAAAACGTGGTAATGATATTTCCCACCAAATAAAAATTTTATAAAGATTAAAGGAGATAATACATGCAAGGTGTTTGGTAAAAGACTCAGGGTATGGAAAGAACCGATCACGGAAGACGAAGGCGGTATTCATGCTGCTCGTTTAGAACTCTTAAGAGAGGCAGAGTTTAAAGAGTAGCTCCCAAATTTTGACTTTAAAATTTAAAATCTTAAAGGTTGTACAAATTAATATTTACCAGTTAAGTGTTGTAAACTTGGCTTGTGTCATGATTTACTTTGGAAAGCACAGTTCTGAGAAGTGCATGGGGTTAGGGTTTTTAGTGACTGCATTACAAACAAGATTGAGACTCCACTCAATTAACAAGTGTCTGTTTATGCATCAGAGCCCATCACTACTACAGTCATAATGCTCAGCACCTGGATATATGTGTGTATATGTGTGCAAACAATATACATTACTTTTTTCATAACTGTGCTACCTAACTATCTATATATTCAAAACAAGGGTCTAGAGTGATGATAGCAAAAATGATCAACTGGAATTTCTAAACCCAATAGACTATAGTGGATCAAAGCATTATAGGATTAAGTTAGTTCTAAATTCCATCATCCCTAAAATATTTTATACAAACTTTTGCATTTTTTGTATATATCTTCTGAGGGAAGGTACCATTGCTTTTCCTGGGTTTTTGTTCTAAAGGAAGTGGAACTGACCCAATCGTGTCTTTTCCCACAGATACTGAAACAGAACACAATAGAATGTATTGATAGTAAGGTTAACAAATTTTCTATAGAAACTTGAATCAGAAACAAAAGAGACTAATCAAAAGTTACTGTCCTCATATGGAATTCACAGTTCTGCCAAGTCAATGGTCACATAGTGTAACCCAGTCCTTAGATTATCAGGTTATTGTGGTCCTGGCTAGATACATCCCAGTGGACAAGTCATGTGTTGGATTTTGGTCCAGTGTGCTGTCAAGTCTGGGGTATAGAATTCTAGATCCAAGCAACTTTGACGCATGCTCTAGTAGCTAATAACTGCACATAGTGTAGCCCACAGTTGACTGTGGGGTGAAAACATTGCTAAATTTGTCATCTATTTCCTCTGCCCTGACTGCTCAGGTAACCTACAGTCTTGATGGCTGCATCAGAAATCTTCGCATGGAACAGGCCCCTGTTAACCTGGACCAGCCGACTTCCAGCTTCCGCGTAGGGACATGCTTTGCGAATGCTCAAAGGGGAACTTACTTTGATGGAACGGGTTTTGCCAGAGCAGGTGAGGGACTTCCACATTCTTTCTGTTGGTATCCATGATGTATAAACTTTGACTTCTTACCTATGCCAAGAAACAAAGATCCCCCAGGTCTGGAACTATTTATTATTCTTCATTTAAACCAAAAATAAGTTTCTACAACTAACAAAGAAAAAATACCTCTAAAACTCTCACATATGGTTTGTGGGGGTGGAGGCTGTAGCTCAGTGTTAAAGTGCTTCCCTCACTTGGGTGAGGCCCTGGGTTCAGTCTCTATGCCTGCCAAAGGAAACCAACAATGACAACAAAAATTCTAATAAGAACTGATTGGAAAAAATAAGTAATGGGGGAAAAGGACACTTGGAAAGTCTGTTCTTTTTCCTTCACTAGAAGTCAGTGGCAACAAGGTGAACGTAACTATGCAAGAAGGCTCAATTGTGATGGTCTGCATCTCAGTGCTCTCTGCCTAACGTTCTGGGAATGAGATACCCTCTTCCTTTCTTCCCTTAACACTCCTTTTGGGGTTCCATTTCATCCCAACACACATGCATGTGCTCAGAGGTACCCAATCATCATTGACAATGACAAGAGATGTCATTTTGGCTGGCTTTAAGTAGTAATTTCCAACATAGGTCCGCATTACTGAAATTGAACATTGCATTGTAAAGGAAAATAGAACTAATCTACAATTACATAAAACCTTTTATATTAGTTACTGTGGGAGAATATTTAGGACTATGGGCTTTTGAGTGACATATGTTTGTTCATTTAGGAGAAAAATAAGGAACATACAATGTGTGGGTGTTAATTCTAGGAAATGGGTAGAGTTGTAATTCCTGCCTTTGAAAGTATATTATCAATAATAAAAAATTCAATTTTCTGAGAAATCACAAGGAAGAAAAGATAAATAATTTGCTGAAGACATACAGTGTTCTGCAGATTTACAAAAAAGATTAGTTTTGTTTTGGAGTCAGAAAAGGATTTCTGGAGAAACAGATATGTTGTAGAAGGTTACTTATTGTTCCTGGCTGCTCAGCCCTAAAATAATCATACAGAAACTATATTATTTGCAATAATGTTTGGCAAGTAGCTTAAGCATATTTCCAACTAAGTCATATCTTAAATTAACCCATCTTCATTAATCTGTGTATCGCCACGAGGCTGTGGCTTACCAGGTAAAGTTCTGGCATCTGTCTCTGGCGGGGCTACATGGCTTCTCCCTGACTCAGCCTTCTTTCTCCCAGCATTCAGTTTAGTTTTCCCTGCCTAGCTAAATTCTGCCTTGCTATAGGCCAAAGTAGCTTCTTTATTCATTAACCAATAAAAACAATACATAGACAGAAGGACCTCCCACTGCACAGATATGTGAGAAAAGCTTTATTACATGAATTGAATACATCCATGCAAAAGTTGTGCAAATGGCTATCAGAATGCTCCAACATGGTCTAGGGAGGAAACACTACCTTTGTAGAAACAGAATTCCAAAAAAGAGATTCTAAAAATGTGTTAGGTGTTGAAACACTGGAGGAGATGATGGAACCCAGAAGTCAAGTGCTGTGAAAGTCAAACGCTTTCTCAAGGTTTCTACAAATTCACAAGTGGCTGCCAGATCACTCTCTTAGCCAGGTGTGATGCCAGGCTCTGACATCTGTAGCTAATGGACTGACATGTCATCCTCCTACCTATTCTTGGCACTGGATCACACCGAACCAACAGAAAGAAAAAAAGGAGTCATTTCTCCTATTTCCAACAACCTCTCCCAACACCATGGCAGCTCACAGCAGAATACAATGCACAGAAGACTTGGGTGAAGGGAGCTGAGGGTTACTTCAGTGGAAACCATATAAATCCAATATCTCCATTCTTAAAAGCTTGCCAGTCACCCTGTCGCTGGACATTTTATGGGATGCTTCACTACCTCTGTCTCCAGTTGAAGCGCCTTACATCATTCTTTTCTTCTTTTACTTATCTCTTGCTGTTTTATTTTCCAGAACAATTCAGCTCCTTCTGCCCTTTACTTGAAAAAAATCCATCACCCTTTCCCATGCAAACTCATCAAAATTCTCAGGAGAACAAGACGTCTAGCACATCACAAGTGCCACCCTTCACTGGGGACCTTTGTGCTTGCACGTGGTATTTATTGCTTGCACAGTAAATGAAAGGTGCAGGGAGGATTTTCTTGAGTGCTTTCCTACTATTCTGTGGACTTCATGTAGTCTTAACTGATCTTAGGAAATCATTTTATACCTAAGTGAAATGTCTTAAATTCTTATTTAAAGGCTGAATAAATCCATGAACCAAATGTTAAAAAGTCCAGAGAAAAGAACTGGCTGGGTTAAATAGAAAAGATTATGTCTTAAAAATCTTTCCATAAAAAATGATATTTGCAACTCTTCTCTTCATTTAATAAAATATTTAAGACTGTTTAAACTCACTCCAATCTGTTGGGCCATTTAGAGTGTCTCAATCAAATTTTACTGAGTAATCATTGAAATGCTGTGGCTAACCCAACAGACTTCTGAAATAATCATACCTGCCTTCCAGAGCCTTTGATTCAGTCTTAGTGTGTGCTCATTCATTTGGTTATTCAATGATTCAGTCCCACCATGTGCTCACTCATTCACTTAACTCACCATTAAAGTTTCACTGTGTGCTAGATTCTTGAACAGTTCCAAAAGTAAAACTAGCAGCAGAATAGATAAAGTTCTGCCTGTCACATCAGCAACCAAAAAACAAAAACAAGCAATAGATAGTGATAAAGTATACTACTGGTGAGGCCACAGAGTAAAGTTATCGAACTCTAATCAATCCTTTGTTTTCCCCAGTTGGTGGGTTCAAAGTGGGCTTGGACCTTCTTGTAGAATTTGAATTCCGTACCACAAGACCCACTGGTGTTCTCTTGGGAGTCAGCAGTCAGAAAATGGATGGACTGGGTATTGAAATGATTGACGAGAAGGTGAGTGGCTCATTCTCCCAGCTCTCTTTTCATGTCTTGCCAGTTTCTTCACTGCTGGGTCATCACAATCCATGTGCGCTTTTATCACCAGCATCCTGTTCACCAGGCTGTACTTTCAATGTGTCAGATCACACCACAGTTGTGCCAACTAGTTGTGGGCCAAGTGTTTAGGGTTACTAGGGTCTTAGTGTCATACTCCAAGGACATCAATTCTCTCTGTTCACCTAGTCTGCAAAATTAGTGGTGCAAAAAAAAGGGGGGCATCTCCCCAGTGACATTGAAGCCAGCCACATACCAGCTCCCAATTTTTACTTACAAGCACCCAGATACTTTTCCAAAAAAAAAAAACAAACGTAAATAAGCATTACTAGTTTGTGTACAGCCAATAATCTAATTTCACAAATCTTCTAATTGACTCATACATAAGGATTTTACTTTTATTTTTAAATAATATCGTGCTTTCATTTCCCACCTTGGGTGTTGGTGTTGCCCAAGAAGAAACATGACAGGGTGGTCTAGAACACACCTTCCTTACCTCTTTCTCTTTTTGTGTTCCACAAATCATCCCACAAGCAACATAGAAAAAATATCCAGGAGCATAGAAGCAAAAAGTATGGACAAATGAACAGATAGGCAAGTCTTCCCAGATTTGTCGGCTTTTCAAAGCCTGTATTCATTACACCATTTTTCAAGTTTCTTTGCTTGCATGTAACCTTTTATTGTTTACGTGGCACTGGGTCGTGTGATTTTTCACCACGCTCTTCAGAGATGCAAAATGTCATTTTTACAAACTCCACTCAGTGTCCTAAACTCTAATATTTACGTTAGTATATGTTTTGCAAAGTTTTCACCTAGCCTTATTAATCTTTTTTAAACAAAATGTTTCTTTCGTCTACCTTGTCAAGTCTTTTGCCAAGCTGACTAATGGTTTTAATATTTCAGCATGTTCCTTTTCTTCATCAGCTTCAAAAGAATTCTGATGTCTCAAATTTCAGGGACTTTGCCATGTTACTAAAAACAGATTTTTCTCATTTAAACAAGAACTTCTAATCAAGTTCTTCCTTGTTGGGAATTTAACTGGCCTTCTGGCTCAGGTCTTTGGCACCCGTAACTTGAAACTTGCCCAAAAAAGTAATTTATGTAACTCTTAATCCTGTATATAAAATGAAAACCATGAAGGAGAAAGAAAAACACAATTAAAACACCAAAAGTTTAAATTTAAAAGCAATCCTTTAAAGTAAATTTGCAAGTCAATTAATGAGTTACTTTAAGCAATATCTCCTAAGAAAGTTTTGTGAGGTTCACCAAGAACCCTTACTCTCTAAAAGGATGTGTGGCAGAGGTTTTCTGTGTAAATTGGGTTTTTTGTTGTTGTTGAACTCTCTTCAGTGGTTTTTCTGAAATGAGAACCAAGAACACACACATTCTCTGGTAACACTGGCAATACCTAAGAGCAACGGTTTGTCACTGGTTCTCAAGTCTTAAGTTTGCATTTCAACTTGCCTAACTTTCCTCGTGTGTGTGTGTGTGCGTGTGTGTGCGTGTGTGCGTGTGTGTGTGTACATGCTCAAGTGTGCATGTGCATATGCAGCCATACATGTACACAGGCACACGTGCATATAATGATGGTCAGAAAACGCTGTGTAGAGCTGTCCTGAAGAGCTACCCACCTTACTGCTTGAGATACTATCTGTTGCTAATTTGAAGCACACCAAGCAGTGTAGCCTGGCTGGCCAGTGAGCCCCAATCTGCTTCCCTATACTGAGATTATGAACCCATGTCTGCCACCTCTGGATTTTTCACATGAATTCCAGTGATCAAACTCAGAACTGCACTTCAACTGTGCCCATTATTTCCACCCTTTGGTGCCGGTGTTTCCCACAAAGAAAAGGTAATGGAAAATACACCATCATCCTTGCCTCCCTCTCCTTCCCTTATTTCTCAAACCTTCACATAAACAACAGAGTAAAACATCCAAGAACTCGGAGGCAAGGGTAAGCATATGAACGGAGAAGCAGAACCGAATACCTAAATAAACCAAGTGGTTTTTAAGTGCATGTCAAGCACTTTATACTCGCTGAGCTATTTCTCCGGGCTCAACTTTTGTCCAGATTAAAAAACAAAATTAAATAGGCCTCAGTTGTGTTCCCTCCAGACTCTAATTTCCACTGTGTGGGCTGCGGAGCTCGCCTCTGCTAAAGCCACCTGTGACCGCTCATTTTCCAACTTCCCAGCTTCTGTTCCATGCGGATAACGGCGCGGGCCGATTCACCGCGGTCTATGATGCTGGGATCCCGGGCCATATGTGCAACGGACGGTGGCATAAAGTGACTGCTAAGAAGATCAAAAACCGCCTCGAGCTTGTCGTAGATGGAAACCAGGTGGATGCCCAGAGCCCAAACTCGGCGTCGACATCAGCTGATACAAACGACCCTGTTTTTGTTGGCGGGTTCCCAGGTGCGTGCTGGCTGCTCCAGCAAACATGTCCTTTGCTCCCTGTGTTTGTGGTTTTAAACATTTGTATTTGTAGAGCCATGTCCAAGAATGTGTACTTAAGGGTGCTTGCTCCCCAGCTTTAGAATCTCCTCCCATAAATAACATTTGGCCTCAAATTTCCAGTCTGTAAAATGAGAGGACATTTATTCAAACCACATGGAGCTGAAATTTTCATAATCACCCCCAAAGTTTCATCCAAGGGGAGGCTAAAGCTAAGGAAATGAATCTGCCTTATAAAATATATAAAGCATTTAATAGCAGTTGAGGCCAGAATTGTGGGGCTTTTTCTTTCTGATTTTAAAATTAATGTATCAGAGGAATCATAAAATTCTGCTGAACTTATTTCCTCCAGTTCTAGAATTCTCCAGGTTAAATGTAGCTAATTTCTCACAAAAGTTATTATAGAGTTTATATTTATATGGCAAAGAAACCAAAGCAATAAATCTGTACCCCAAAAAACCCTTCTTCAACAAAAATAAATATGGTATATGAACTGCATAGTTACCTAAAGAGTTCATGAACAAGAGGGGCAAACTGAACAATGAAGCTACTGCTTCTTCATGACCAACATGTGGACAGTACAGACACCTGAAACGAGCTGTCATCATTTTGAAAGGACAATTTTTGTTCTCCCTTATGCAAAGTCCTTCTGCCTAGGAAACAAGAAGAGTGTGCAGTATTTAGCACAGGTAGACAGAGCAAAGGACAGTAGAGGAGATTGACAGTGTTTCCTTCCAGGGTTTCTGTCGATTTTTCTCTTTTAAATTTTATTTCATGGCCACGGATGTTTGGCCTGCATGTGTGTCTGTGAACCATGTGCATGCCAGGTTCCAGTGAAAGATGGCAACAAATTCCCTGGGCCTGGAGTCACAGACAGTTGGGACCCCTATGTGGGTGCTGGGAATAGGGGTTCGACCAGTAGTAGAGTGCCTGTCTAGCATGCACAAGGTTTCCGGACTGAATCACCAGCACATGTGAGGAAGAAAAGGCAAACCTGAAATCTCTTGTCTTTTCAGATGGCCTCAATCAGTTTGGCCTGACCACCAACATTCGGTTCCGAGGTTGCATCCGATCTCTGAGGCTCACCAAAGGCACAGGCAAGCCGCTGGAGGTTAATTTCTCCAAGGCCCTGGAACTGAGGGGTGTTCAACCTGTCTCATGCCCAGCTACCTAATAAAGAGAAGTTCAAGCCCGTAAAGGGTCCATCAAGCAAGTGTATCAAGTAAAACAATATCTTTCCCTATGCATATTAATAAAACTAATGTGTGCACATACATAGAATTCTTTCTGTTTTCAGGTGGTTATAATTCAGACCACAGATTGAACTTTAATTCAACTTCTCTTTCAAACTCATAATTATTAAACCAATTATTTCATTCTAAATAATTACATGTTCTGTGTGATTTTTAAAGATGAAAGGTAACTGACCATAAAATAAATTTGCAACATGCCCTGAAGTCATCATTTTAAAAATGCAATTTGTGGAGGCAACTATAAAAAGAGACAACATCTATGAATAGTTTTATCTTCTTCCATGGTTGTTGGATTTGGCTTTGTGTTCAAGCCACTGAAAACAAGTGGATTTTGTACTTGTGTCTGGGAGGTAATCAGGTCCTTCAGTCTCTGTGTTTGCAAAAGCATTAGCAAATCATTTCCCTAATCCAAGTTCATTATTGAAGCATTTATGTGGCCTTATGAGTGAATACCTTTTCATGCCGAAGGTTGATAGTATAGATCAGATTCAAGGCAGAGAGCTTAATTACTTGATTTTCTTGTTTGATAATGATTTATAGGCTTCGAGAAGATGCCAGAGCCAAGCTGCCGAATGACAATGAAGCTCACAGTCTCTGCTACTGTAGTGAGATTGTGGACTCTAGGTTTATAAGAGGGAGTTCGCAACCTACACTCAGATGGGGAGAAAGCAAGGGAACAACATTTGTATTTATCAGGAGGCAATCCACCAGAAACTCCAAAGACATATTTCCCTTTGAATCTTCCTGACATGTAGTGTTACCTAACAAACTCATTTCCTATAAACAAAACAAAACAACAACAACAAAAGTCTGGTTTGCTTTTTTTTTCTGTATTTCTTTCTGTTCAGTCATCTTCAAAGGGGTGTGGGAACCAAGACTAGCCTGAATTTTATTCATCAAGTTTTAAAGGGAAATATTTCATTTGTCACCTTCAGAAGAAACGACTGTAATTTGATAATTCAGAACACGGAAAGCAGTGGATCTCAACCTTCCTAATGGTGCAACCTTTTAATACAGTTCCTCATACTGTGCTGACCCCCAGGCATAAAATTATTTCCTTGGTACTTTATAAACTGTAATTTTGCTACTGTAATGAATTGAAATGTAAATATCTTATATGTAGGATATCTGATATACAGCCCCTGTGGAAGGGATCATGACACGGGGTTTGAGAACCACTGACGTGAAAGAACAGGAATCTCGCCCAACTAAAGAAATTTGAGCATCAGGAGAGTAAAGGATTAGGACAGTGTTATCCACAAGGGAAAAAAAGGTACTGTTTCCATCTCTGTGATGGCAAATGTACATTTAGCATTTTACCATTATACAGTGACTCCTTACAATTTGTCCACATGTTTCTATTCTATTCTACTGAAAGCAATTCCCAACCTAAGCTTGGGTTTTAAATCTTTTTCCTTAGAGGAAAAAACAACAAACCCTGTTGTGAGACAGCATTCAGTCTAGAGCAGAAGGGTTTTTGGAATTTTCCCCATGAAGAAAATCAGGACTATTAAGAAATAAGTATCCATAGAACTTCTGGAGGAATCACAATCCCAGTACTGAAAACAGCATGGTATTGGTATCAAAACAGACAGGAGGACCAATGGAACTGAATCGAAGACCCAGTTATCAGTCTACACACCTATGAACATCTGATTTTTGACAAAGAAAAAAAAATAAAATGAAAAAAAAGAAAGCATATTCAACAAGTGGTGCTGGCATAAGTGGATATCAACATGTAGAAGAATGAAAATAGGTCCATATCTATCGCTATAAAAAAAATCAAGTCCAAATGGATCAAAGATCTCAATATAAAACCAACCACACTGAACCTCAGAAGAGAAATTGAAAAGTACACTTGAAAGCATTGGCACAGGAAATGACTTCCTAAATATAACCCCAGTAGCACAGACATGGAGATAAACAATTAATAAATAGGACCTCCTGAAACTGAGCAGCTCTATAAATCAAAGCACACAGTCAGCAAGACAAAATGGTAGCTTACAGAATGGGAAAAGATCTTCACCAGCCCCACATCAGACAGAGAGCTGATCTCCAAAATATACAAAGAACTCAAGAAATTGGTCATCAAAAAACTAAATAATCCAATAAAAGAAAATGGGGTACAGACATAAACAGAGAACTCTCAACAAAGGAATATAAAATAAATAAAAATGCTCAACATCCTTAGCCATCAGAGAAATGCAAATCAAAAACAACTCTGAGATTCCATCTTACATCAATAAGAATGTCCAAGATCAAAAACACTGATGACAACTTATGCTGGAGAGGATGTGGGGTGAGGGAAACACTCCTCCATTGCTGGTCGGAATGCAAACTGGTACAACCACTTTGGATTTCAGTATGGTGATTTCTCAAACAATTAGGAAACAACCTTCCTCAAGACCTAGCAATACCACTTTGGGGTGAAACCCCAAAGGATGGTCAATCATACCACAAGGACATGTGCTCAACTATGTTCACATCAGCATTGTTTGTCATGGCCAGAAACTGGAAACAACCTAAATGCCCGTCGACCAAAAAATGAATAAGGTTAAACAATGGAGTACTACATAGCAGAAAAAAATAATTACATCTTGAAATTCACAGGCAAATTGGTGGATCTACAGAACATCATATTGGGTGAGGTAACCCAGACCCAGAAAGAAAAATATCATATGTACTCACTCATAAGTGACTTTTAGACATAAAACAAAAAAAGTGGCCTACAATTCAACAATCCCAGAGAACCTAGACAACAAAGAGGACCCTAAGAGAGACATACATGGATCTAATGTACATGGGAAGTAGAAAAAGACAAGACCTTCTGAGTAAACTGGGAGCATGGGGACCACAGGAGACGGTAGGAGGGGAGGGGGAACGAAGGAAGGGGGAAGCAGAGAAAAATATATAGCTCAATAAAAACAATTTAAAAAATATGTAAAGTCCAAAAAAAGAAAAAAAAATAACTATCTGCTATAGCGATTTGTGTCGATAAGGATCTTGGTTTATTGATACAAATTTAAGGTCAATTTTGTTATATGTATATTTCTGCTCATGTTTAAGGTATTGTGTTTGAGCAGCTCATTTAAAAATGTAATGTATAATTAAGAAATATAAGTTAATGGATAATCATCTATATTAGTTAAGAGTATAGTAATGTTAGGTATTCTAAATGTACAGATATGTATTTCAAGTGAATAGTCATTCCTCAAACCTTTCAAAGGCTTCAGAATATGGCATTTAAAATATTTTAAGAACTTGGGACTTTTCATGACAGTGAGACATCTGTCCTGGCAACACCAGGCTACTTCAAGAGGAAGATAGGCAACAACGATGCTCATTATTGAGTTTGTTAGGCATTTGTGTAAGAAACGGCTTTTGCCTGGACTGCTTGTTGCTATGATGTATGAACTGGACATGCAGGACCCACAGAGAAATGACTGCTGAACTTGCCTAAAGGTGAGACGGTCCTTCAGGGTTCCTGCTTCATAAAAAGGGTCTGCAGACATTCTGGAGGACACAGAGAAAAGTGACTGACAAACTGATAATATAGGCAGAACTGTTTTTGAAATTTCCTGCTTTGAGGAAAAGTCTGTTAGATACTGTGGGCCTGTAGGCTGAAGGTGAATATCCCAATGGTACAGAAGAACTTTGGGTGACCATCCAGGCAATGAGATGTCTCTGTCAATTCTAGAGTTTTGAAAGTTGCTTACAATGCACTTTCTATTTACTTAGGTAATATTATATCCTTCTGAAGTCTTTGATGGAGTTGAAGAATATATAGTTATAGTTTTCCTTAGTTATGATAAAATATAAAGTAGATATTAAATATTGTAACTGTATACTTTCTTGATACCTGTTTGTTATATATAATTTTACTATGTTAAAGTTAAAACCTTCTTTCTTATTTAAACAGAAAAAGGGAGTGGATGTGGGATTCCTCTCTGTATGCTGTGAATACCATTGGTTAATAAAGAAACTGTCTTAGACCTGTGATAGGGTAGAGTTGAGCTAGGCAGGGAAAACTAAACTGAATGCTGGAAGAAAGAAGTCAGAGTCAAAGGGAAGTCATGGAGCCGTTACTAGAGACAGACATGCTGAAACCTTGCCAGTAGGCCATGAGCCTCTTGATAAAATATAGAATAATGGAGATGAGTTAATTCTAGATGTACGAGATAGTTAGCAATATACTTAAGTAATTGCCCAAGCAGTGATTTAATTAATACAGTTTCTGTGTGGTTATTTTGGGAGTTTGGGCAGCCGTGAAGCAAACAAGTAGCCTCCCTATTACAACTATCCACCATGTCAACTGAATTTTATAGCCATTTGAAATTTCTACTATTATCATGACCTTGGCTAATTCCAAACACATAAAAAAATCTGTATTGAATGTAGTTGCCTCTTCATCAGCCTTTAAGCCATTAAACTATTTGAAATTCAATGTGGCTTGAAAATGCAACCATTACTTCTACGGTGGGTTTATTCTGGATACTGGACAAGATAAACATGAATAAAGATGCTTTCCTTAAATTAAAAAAGGTCCCATTTTTCCCCTCAGGTTCTGCTCAGGATGATACATAAATTTGAAAGCTAAAGTGTATGATTGACACTCTTATCAGAAGCAAGTCCTGCTGAAGTCAATTCTGGATAAGTGCTTTGGAAGGGGAGGGCTCAAAATGTCCTTTGAGATGAATGCAGTGCCTCCTGATTCCAGGCAGACATTAAAAATTGCATAGGTACAATAACCAACAAAAATTATATATTAATTTTGTCCTATACCAATTAAGCAATAACCTTTAGTAGGGTCCTTATACACACACACACACACACACACACACACACACACACACACACACGTTTCCAACTGAGTCTAATGTATGATGGAGAGTGAAAAGTTCAAGCCTCTTGCCATCTCCATATTTCTTTAGGAGGAACTGAAGGGTATCCTGAAGTGTGACAATGTGCTCAAAGTCCCACATTAGAAATATTTTCCATCATGGTCCCAGAAAAGTTGTTTGTGGCAAAATCTACTCTATCAGTCTTTGAGTAGATTTCTCTCACTCTAGGATTATACCAAAGGGTAGACCCTTGACTATGCATGAGCAGAGCTTATCTAGATTTTAAAATCAAAAGTA